TAGACATGCAATACGATCTACAAAAATGTATTAATCTAGGGAGCCAAACAAGCACTTATAAACACAGCTTTTATACGGCTTAAGAACAATGAAGGCCTGAACAGTCTGCCTGCAAGTTAAGGTAATTGTGGTAAGAGACTCAGAGACCTTAAATGTTGTGTGAAGCTACCCAGAGAATGCCAATATTGCTTTCAAATGACTTTTACAGATTTATTTTGTTGATTATTATTATTATTATTGTTATGATTATTATTGTTTTTACTCGTATCTGCAGGGACGGAATAAAACTAACACCGTTTCTTCTAAAGTAGTGCAGATTTGATGGGGTCTGTCCAAGGCTCCTTGCCACAGGGGGCTCATACCCTCACCATTCCTCAAGGATTGAAATCACCAATTTATATTTGCTCTCAAATCATTATATATTCAACAGTCTCGTCGAATAGGGTAAATACAACAAAAACAATGGACATACTTATTCTGAATGGCAATATGTGATCCCTGAGCTGAGGGAGTGTTTTTTCAATTCCTATTAACACACAAAAGTTGTAACAAAACGTAGTTTATTAGACAAAAAGTCTCAGGTGAAAGGGGTCTACTGTGCTAAAATAACAACAACAACAAACAAAAGCTTAGATACAATGTAAAAGGCAAGGCATGCCTACGAAATATTGTTCTCCTTGGATGTGTTGTTTATTTTTCTTGTAATTCGGTCCATGCAGTTCTCTTAGCTTGGTGCAATCTCGCATAACATATCGCAGGCCTTGTCGATGCTCTGGTGAATCACATAAGGAAAAGAGGGAAAATTAGTATGTGATCAGAGCCGTACATAATAAATTGCTGTGTTTTTTTTACTTGACTTCGATCAGACCACACAAAAAAGCATTTTGGATTCCGGTTAGTATAAAACATGGACTGCGGACTGCGGACTGGGTATAAAATACGGACTAGGTATAAAATGTGGACTCCGGACTGAGTATAAAACACGGACTAGGTATAAAACGCGGACTACGGACTATGTATATAAAAACAGCTTTACAAGGTAAAACTGAGCCGAGAGAAATAGAAAGCGGACTAGCAAAAACAGTAGTCCCAGCTTTAACATTCCCTTGGCTGCTCACGTAGTCTATTCTTCCCAAGGAGAAGGAAGGTTATGCCGGTACTCAAGGCAACTGAAATTAAATTCTGAATTTTATAAAAAGAAGGAGTTTGAAGAGATTTCAATTTGCAGTTTTAAACCAATAAGAAGCACCGAATTAAAAAAAAATAGTATTGGTGTTAGTCAGATCAGTAAAATTCTTATCGGATGCCACAACTCCGTTTAAAATAAAGCCTTGGGAATATGAGGACTGAATGAAGAACTCAGACGAGAAGGTCAATGCTATGCACAAAAGCAGTATTTTGCGAGGGATTACTCACATACGTGAATAATAACCGAAATGAGTCATCCAACGTTATATTCTAAGCGATGATTATGATGACATGATTTACACCCTGCTCCTGATCCCCGGAGGGGGGTACTACTGGGAATTCTTGGTGGGGGTGTAGTGCCCGGTTCTCCGAATCCTGACCTTATTGCAGTCTAAAAAATTGTCATTTTCCACACCCGTTTTCAGTCTAGATCTATAAAATCATACCCATTTTCGGACATGGCCTAATTTAGCCTGTTCCAGGTTCTCAGATAGTTGGGGGGACTCCCCAGTTTTCTCCCGTTTTATTTTCGTGTTTTCGCTTTCTCAATTCAGCGGACCCATTTATCTCAGAGCCTTGAACAGGTTAGGTCTAATTAGGCAGAAATTTTGTCATCATTACCAAGTTAGAGCAAAAACAAAAAAATTCTCCAAATGCATTTTGAATTCGCACATTTCTATCTCGTTCTTATTCATTTGGAATTGAAACGATAAATACGTCCATTCATGCACGCTCCCGTAGTTCCCTCGAAAGCCATACCCGATTCCACACCAAAATGGGCAAAGTGTTTTCAGATCAAAAAGGCCCAAACCCCCTACCCTTCCATTATAGAAGGGAGTACAGTACCACCCCCGATCCTGACCCCTTTCATGACTGTTAGAGACCAAGACAAGGTCTAAAAATGGGTGAAGAAAATAGCATTTTGATCCGGCTCATGATTCAGAGAACCGGGCGGGACACCTCCACCAAGAATTTATAGGAGTATTTACAACTTTAACTCACGTGTCTTGCTATTTAGCGATCTTTTGATCGTATTTTTCCTTACCTAGAACCAATTTGCACGGTTTTTACCAAAGTAGTCCGTAGTCCGATTTTATACCCAGTCCGCAGTCCGCAGTCTGCAGTCCGCGTTTTATACCTTGTCCGTGTTTTATACCCAGTCCGTATTTTCTAGTCCGCGTTTTATACCTAGTCCGTATCTTATACCCAGTCCGCAGTCCACGTTTTATACTGACCGTTTTGGATTCGATTCTACTCACAATATAACGGATGACAGATGTCACAAAGAGTAGTATGTTACAACGAGTACTTACCGGCTAGAATTTACGTCTTTCACCTTTTCTTCCAAAATTTCACTGAGAATCATTATCTATCGTTAAGTTTCAAGTTTCCGAAATAGAAAGTTCCTTCAAATCTCATGTTCATGTTCTGGAATATTTGAATTCCGTTTAAGAACCAAGGCATGCGCAGAACAACCGAAACCGCATGACTTCTGCGGTCGAGATTTGGTGTCCCCAGAGTTTTCCTGGCGTTGCCCCGCTGACCAAAAAGCCAGAAGACTCTGTTCGAGATTGCCTATTAGGGAGAGTTGCCTCCTTATATAGGAATATGCAATTGTATCACTGAAAAAAGATATGCGCAACCATTTAGGCCCATACTTTTAATAAAAAAGCAAAAAAAGTTTTAAATTAAACTTTTATATTGAGTGCGTGACGTTAGGGTTTTATCGATTCAATTGATAAACTTGATTTTTTACTACACCACCACGGCTTGTCCATTCTCTTTCTGTGACAAAGTGATTTTCGTTCACATTGTCACGGAAAAAAGTAAAAGGGGCTGTTTCATAATCTATTTTTAAAAGGCGCTTTCATCGCGTCAACTCAATCTAACATCCGGTTGCGTTCTCTACGAAGTAAAGTAACCCATTTTCACTGTCGTGAGTGCTTTGCTGCGGGCGAGCGAATGAACTCATCACCCACAAGGGACTGTAAAACAATAAACGCTTAAGTGGAGCAACTTGGGATGGTGGATCCCACGAACTCAAAAATACTGGCACGTACACAGAAAAAAACAGTTTTAAAGTAGAATTAAGAAATTACTAATAGTAAAAGAAGTCTAGCCCAACTGAATTTCTTTTGACACTTTCAAAGTCACTATTTCTGGGTAGTATTGCTAGACGTGTTAATAAACAAGCTGCTTTTCCATGGTGTTAGCTTTCTATGCCACTATATGCCAGCTGGTGCGTCTTCATGTGGTCAGGTGAAACATATAAAATTATTTTGAAATAAAAAAGCGTGTTACTTTTTCTGAAAATTCAAATTTTTTAAAAGGTGAATAGAATATCCATTAACTCAAGTGGCTTCCCGTCTTGAATTTCGCAGTAAAAAAATTAGAACTACAAACATTAACTTATTATACGAATAATTTACAATGACCACCTTTTGCCTGACAGAACGTTATCAGCAAAGGGGGTACTGAATTTTACTGTCAGATTGGTTAGGTAATAGAAAAATGGATATTCGATCCTAGGCCCACGTTTTTAACCCAAATTCAAATTGCCGCCAAGTTTTAAATGGAGTTCATAACTTAAGGTTTTAAATTCCTTCACGTAGTGAATTGTACTTATCGTTGCATTTAATAAACTAAATTTTTTTTGTCGGTTTCGCTCGAACCACCTACGCCGAACTACTCCTTTAAGGTGGCTCGATAGGGTTTTTCAGGGTCAATACCTCCCAAGTTTGAGCATAAACTACGTCCCCATTAACAAAGATTTGCAAAAATTACCACCACAGCTGTGTTAGATAAAGATGAAAATTTGATCTAATCAGGGTTACAATGACATCGGAGTTGTCATGGCAACGTGATGACGCCATTGCCTATTTTACTTGCAGCCGTATTTCTTGGCACCGGGAACTCTCCTTCCAAAAATCGTTCAAAAAAGCTATTTTCTCCAAAAGGCGCCTCGATTCTACATCTCACAAGGAGCGTGTTTTTCACGTTTTGCTATTGTTGTTGGTAAGGCCAATATAAATTAGACGCACACGCAAACGTTTTGAACATGGCAAGATACGTTTCCAGATATTAGAGCCCATACTGTAGTGACTGATTATTACAATTGACAACTACTGAAAGGTTTTTCATTTCAGTTTATTGATATCATGTTTAGTCTCTTAGATCTTTTAACATTCTATAAATTGCATCCAAAATGAACTTTATAATGTTCATTGAAAGGTACAAAGTATACTTTTTATTTCTTGAGCATAAATGAATATCAATTAAAGCAAACTGAAATATCAATTTATTCAAATTTCCATATACTAGTTTGCTTATATGCTGCGCTTTTTTGATTAAATCTTAACATATACCTATTAGTTATCTGACGCGGGCTAAATACAACATTAAAGTGTCCCAAGAATTTCCAATTCGACCAGGAATCAGGTAGACGAAAAACTACATCGTGGATGTGCTACCTCCAAATCATTCTTTCTTTCTTTCTTTAATACTTGAGTCAAATCTCACTGTAATGTTACTGTGGATTGGGACAACGTTCTGAATGGTAGTCGTTTTGATATAATGCCCATTCACGTTAGTTGTCCTTAGCATTTCAAAATTCTCTTAAGACCTTGGCGATAATTACTGCTAAAAATAAGGCAAATAATCGGGTTGACAGCACAGTTTACGTGATACATGAATATGGCAATAAAAACAAATATAGGAACACCGCAACTAGACATGATCTTGGGAAAGAGGGACATAAAACCAAGAGTGAGCATGGGTACACAACAGAGTGAAAATGCTAACACGATAGCACATGCCATTCTTAACACTTTCCTGTTTCTTTTTGCGCGCTTTTTCTCAGCATTATTCGACTGTTCACCTGGACGTGTCTGTAGTTTGAGCTTGATGACGATGATGGAGTACAGAATGACCAGCAGGACGATAGTGATGATGATAATTATGTAATTTGTGATGACTACGGCAATTTGCCAGGACTTAATTTCGTCAGAAATATCAATCACCGAACAGACACTGCGCCTTTTTACTTCGACTACTTTCGCGCTGTTCAACCACGGCGAATAAAAAGCCAAAGCAATGATCCATGTGGCGGTAATGACGAAGGGAAACAATTTGCAACTAATGACTGTGGAACGAAGTGGGAACACCACGGCTACAAAGCGATCCACTGCTATCAGAACTAAGCTCTGACACGACACACCGTAGGAAACCGCTGGTACGTAAACTATAAGCTTGCACAAAGCTTGGCCAAGAGGGCCGCCAATAAGCCAATGATCAACAGGAGACGTATAAAATCTTACTAGGAACCAAGGCACCGTGATTAACGGGAATACCAGGTCGGACATGGCCATGTTTACGATCAGATGATTAATGGGTTGCCGCTGCAGGCTTGGCGTTTTATAAAAAATCACTCCAATGGCAGAATTCCCAGCCAGTGAAACAATAAGGATCAGACTATAACCAATGGTTAGCCCAAGATTTAACGCCGAATCGTTTATCACATTGTAACACACGATCATCGAAGTTTGCAGTCTCAGGTGTAGTGTTCCGTGTATCCATGACCATCTCCGTGTCTGCCACTCTTCTCCGCAAGGCTTTTAGCTCCTTTGCACAAAAGCTGCTTATGCTATTCTTGAATACTGAGAGGGTTTATAACTTTTAGCGTGCAAGTAATTTAAGAAACCCCAAATGTCTTGAAATGACAAACTGGAGATAAGCGTCAACTGTGTAATGTAAAACACCCAAAGAAAGGTAAACACATTAAGAGTCGGTTCTGATCTCACCCACTCGCTCTGCCAAAAACCGCTGCGCGGAAGACTATAAATTCCGCATACTTATCACAAAAAATCTTAATTAGTGCTACTTGTATTCTTGCCGTTAATGAG